GGCAGGTCATGCAGTCAGGCAGGAATGAGAGTTCTGTAAGTAAGAGGATGAGTTGAATTAATGGAAGAATTGAAGTTAAGTAAGAATTAAGAGTTATAAATATTAGAGAGATTATGTGTAAAGATTGAAGGATGACAAAATTTTTGATTCATTTGAACCATGATAGTGAATATGTTGATGGGAAATGATGTGATTGAACTACGTAATTACTATACTAATTGAAGTCATGTAGTTATGAAGACATGAGACGTAGATAATGTGTAAGATTGAAGGAAATGAATTAATGATGAAGTACTTAAGTTAATTAATTTATGATAATGAATTAAGTTATAAATTGAAATGAATGGTGTAGAAGATGGGTAGGGATTAATGAGTAGTGAATAAGGAAAAGACAAAAGTTAAGGGAAGTCATTCATGCAGGTCATGCATTTAGGTATTACTATAATTATTAATGAATTAATTACAAATGTATTAAGTAATTATGGAAATATTATATATAATTATTTTTGAAATATGAATTAATTCATAAAAGTTTTTAAGGTTAATATGAAGAAATGATCTAAAGATTGAGTTGAATGAGTGTGATAATACATTATTAAAGACAAGAATGTAATCTTGAGGGATGTAAGATGTTTATTACTGAGCTAAGGAGGTGAAGGAAGTACATGAATTAACAATACAGTAAATTAAGTAATTAATTAACGAATTAATGAAGATAATTAATATAAGAGTTAAATTTGTAATGTTATAAAGTGATGTTTGGATGAGTAAATATATAGGAATTAAAGACATAATGTAAGGAATGCAGGCAGTCAGCATTACAGTAATGTATGATAAAGTATGAATGAGGAAGGAGAAGGCATAAGTTGTAAATAGAGGAAGGAGGGAGGAAAGAGGGAAGGAAGAACCAAAGGGTGGAAGGAATGGAGAGAGGGAGAAAGATGGAGGGAGGAAAGAGAGATGAATAACATAATTTAAGGCAAGTTAGTTTGAGTGATAATTGATGACTTGAGATAATTTAGCTAAGGAATTTAATTAATTAATTAGTGAATGTAATTAATGAATGAAATTAATTGAAGGAATTAAGGTAAGAGTGAAATTAAGTGATAAATAGGTGGATGTAAATAGAGAAATGAGATGAAAAGACAGATATGGATTTCTAGTCAGGCAGTCAGTCAGGACATGAAGGGAGGTAGTAAGAGGTGAGTGAATGAAGTAAGGAATCGAAGGAGGGTAGGAGTTAAGGAATGTATACTTAATGAATTAGAAAGATTTAGAATAAGTCTGGTGACTGTAGAATTACAGGACACAATTTTGTAAGTAATGTGACGAAAGAATAAGATTTATTAAAGTATTTAATTAAAGACAGTATGAAAATACCATATAGGTAGTCTGTAGTTTATTGAATAATTTATGAACGTTGATATAATTATATAATTAATGTAAGTAATGTAATGATAGGAAGTTAAGTAATGATCTATGAAGGAATGAATATTAATGTAGATGAGTAATGTGTATAGTGAATGTTAATTATGAAATAGGTGTTATTGTTAGAAAATATATATATTCAAGTAAATTACAGAATGTGGAGGTTAATATCAGTCATTCATGCATGGTACTTCTATTGAATTAAGTTATATTAAGTAATTCATGTAATTAAGTACATGAATTAACTGATTAAGTTAAACTGAAGGGATAAGAGGTGAGATTGCATAACTGATGTTGTCAAAGAGAAGGAAGGCAAACGCTCTGACCATTCATGTAGAAATAGAGAAAGAAGGAAGGAAAAAGAGAAGGAAGGAAAGAAAGGAAAGGGGAGAAGCGAGGTAGGGAGGAAAGAGAGAAGGAAGGAAAGAGAGAAGGAAGAAAGGACATGATGGTGAGAGAGTGGAGGGACTGAGAAAAGAGCCCAAGGGGCCACATCTGGTCCCTGAGCCTGGGTTTGCCCGTTCCTGATTTAACTTGTAGGTTCCTAATAAGTGGACCATTGGTCTCTTTTGTGCCAGAGTGCCGTCTCAAAACCCACTTTGCTCCTCTTGCTGTACATTTGGGGTGGCCAAGCTGGCCAATGGCAACCTTCCTAAGCCAACCAACCCCTGATTGGAGGCGAAGCACAATCCATATTTCCAATCAACAAGTTTGAATTATGGCCGTGGTTGAACGCTGGAGACATTTGGCAATTAATGGCCTGTTTTACAATGTCCATTACTTTGGGGGGGGACGCCGTTCCGGATTAGTACTTGATTTTCCGTACGCATCTAAACAAACCAATTAACGCTGCCTGCCCAGTTAGACAAATGGGAGTCAATTAATCATGGGAGATGGAGTCGCTTCATTAATTGCACAAGGGAAACATAGCCTGAACTCTGGTTTGTGTTTGGATAACATGGGAACAGCTTAAAATTGGGGGCGTGGGTAAATTTGGGCCTTCCGGGTATTTTGGACTCCAACTCCCATCATTCCTAACAGCCTCAGGCCTTCCTTTCCCCCCTCAGCCGCTTAAGCGGCTGAGGGGGGAAAGGAAAGGGCCTGAGGCTGTTAGGAATGATGGGAGTTGGAGTCCAAAACACCCGCAAGGCCCCAAGTGTTGCCCTTGCAATAAGGAACAGCAGGCAACCCTCGTATCAACATATCTCAAGCCCATCTGGTTCTGCAACCACAGGATTTATATTTTGAGGTCATTATTAATTATGCAAGTTAATTGCAAGGGCCTTCTTAATTGTCATAACACTTTACTCAATTTGCTCGATCGTCGTGCCGTCGCACAGAATCAATGCCACTTAATCAACGTTGCCGATTATGCTTTCGCCTCGGGTGGGAAGCGTGAACCCGCAACCAGAAGTAAAAAAATTGGCTACGTGTTGTTGAAGGGTTTCCCGGAATTCCGGAAGCATTCTCTCCTGACGTTTCGCCCACATCTATGGCAGGCATCCTCAGAGGTCTGTTGGAAACTAGTCAAGTGAGGTTGATATCTCTGTGGAATGATGTGCAGGGTGGGGAGAAAGAAAGGACTCTTGTCTGCTTGATGTTGCAATTGACCACTTTGATTAGCACTGAATGGTCTTGCAGCTTCAAAGCCTGGATGCTTCCTGCCTGGGGGAAATCCCTTTTTTGGGGTGATGTTAGCTGGACATGATTGTTTCCTGTCTGGAATTCATTTTTTTAGTGTTGCTCTTTATTTACAGTCAAGCAAAGGATTCCCCCAGGCAGGAAGCATCCAGGCTTTGAAGCTGCAAGGCGATTCAATGCTAATCAAGGCGGCCAATTGCAACATCCACATTTGCCTCAAATAGACAAAAGTTCTTTCTTCCACTCTAGGCATCATTCTACAAGTATATAAACCCCACTTGCCTAGTTTCCCATAAACCTCATAGCCTTCGAGGATGCCTGCCATAGAAGGAGGCGAAATGTCAGGAGAGGATGCTTCTGGAACATGGCCAGACAGTCCAGAAAAAAATACAGCAACCCAGTGGTTCCGGCCTAGAAAGCCTTCGACAACACAATATCTCATAGAGTCTCAAATCAATTAAACCTAGTTTGTGGCAGCCACAGAAATGACTACGTGTCTGGAGTAGAACAACTGCTTTCAAAGAAAAGACCGCACAATTAAACAGGAAATTACACTTTAGGGGGGCCCCGGTGGAGCAGCGGGTTAAACCGCTGAGCTGCTGAACTTGCTAACCAAAAGGTTGGCGGTTCGAATCTGGGGAGCGGGGTGAGCTCCTGCTGTGAACCCCAGCTCCTGCCAACCTAGCAGTTTGTAAACATGCAAGTGTGAGTAAATCAATAGGTACCACTTCTGTAGGAAGGTAATGGCGCTCCATGCAGTCATGCTGGCCACATGACCTTGGAGGTGTCTAGGGACAAAGCCGGCTCTTCGGCTTAGAAATGGAGATGAGCACCAGAGTCCCAGAGTCAGATAACCTTTACCTTACCTAACGCTTTCAAACTAAAAACAGGGGGAAAAAATCAAGTTTTGTTACATAGTGTCATTTTTGAGACTAACAATGTTGATGATGGTGTGGACAGAGAATTAAAGACACATTCTCATTGGCCTACAGCAATCAATCGTCTCATTGGTCTAAGCTGGTTATACGATGTTCATGGGCTCTCTAACAGAGAGGAAGATCTTAACTATAGTCTATGGTTCTCCGGCCACAAACACTCAGTTGGAAAGTACCTGTGGGTCTGGGTTGTTGTAAGTTTTTTGGGCTATATGGCCATGATCTAGAGGCATTCTCTCCTGACGTTTTGCCTGCATCTATGGCAAGCATCCTCAGAGGTAGTGAGGTGAGGTATCTGTAGGTAGAGCCGGCCCTAGGTAATTTTCAACTGTAAGCAAACAGTATTTTGGTGCCCCCCCCCCCCCCACCAATCATTGATATGGAGCAGGAACGAGAGGGGCTAGGCGAGGCTCAAGGGCCCGGCCCCTTCGGGAAGAGGATTGCCCAGCAGTGAGGCAAGGAAGCCAAGGCTCCTCCCGGACTGGTGAGCTGAGGGGGCGCTCCTCAAGTGGCTGTCGAGGGGCATTTACAGAGGCGCCTCTGCGCCCCTGGCAAAAAAAAGTGTACCGCAACCGCTTACTTTACGTAATGGACGAGCCGCCCCTGTCTGTAGGTGAGGTATCTGTAGGTCGGTACTTCAAGCAGCTGGGAAACAAAGGGAGGATGAGGAAGTGGTAGATTCCTCCTTGGCAACTCTTTCTCTACACATCAGCATCTTTGCAAACCAAGGCCCTCTGGAAAAGCTGGCACTTAGGATTGTCGTTCATTGCAAGTATCCTCAAAAATCCCTTTTAGAACGACGACATCTCTCCTGCCCTGGGGACTTTTAAAGAGAGTCTGGGTGGCCATCGTCAGGAGGGCTCTGGTGGTGCTTTGGCAGAAAGGGGACTGGACGGGGCGGCCCGTGGGGTCTCCTCCAGCTGTATGGTTCTAGGATTCTAAAGCTGTTTTGCCCCCGTTTGGCACTCTTTCCTGACCCGGTGCCTGTCCTTCCAGGTGTGGTTCCAGAACCGGCGCACCAAGTGGAGGAAGAAGAGCGCCCTGGAGCCCTCCTCCTCCTCCTCGCCGAGGGCCGGGACTGGGCCGGGCGAGCGCTCCATCTCCGACGAGGACGATGAGTACAACAAACCCCTGGACCCCGATTCGGACGATGAGAAGATCCGGCTCCTGTTGCGCAAACACCGGGCTGCCTTCTCCGTCCTGGGACTGGGCTCCCACAGTGGCTGAGGGACCATCTGGACAAAAGGGATGGGGTGGGATGGAGTGGGATGGGGTTTTGCAATGAGGGTGGGGGGCACAAGGAAGACTGGCAGCCAGAACATCTTCAAAGATGAGACTCTCAAAGGAGAGGGGTTCAGGTGGCCAACTCCAGGCTCCAACCAGGCTGGGAGCCTCCAGACATCTCCACAACGATTCCGGCTTCCGGCTGGTCTCAAAACTGAGTCTGGCTGGGAGTCTGACGGGGCATCCACACTGCGGAACGGATACCGTTTGGCACTGCTTCAACTGCCACGATTTGGCAGAGGAGGTGGCAAAAGTGCCGCCTCCGTGGCATAAAACCGAACCAGTGGCAGTGAGAGCAGTGCCAAACCTAGACTGTGCATGCATCCTGATTTTCAGTAAAGCAAAGTTGCAGATGTTTCCATCCAACATATTCACACACATGTTTTAAACAGACCTATAAATTAACTCCAGGAGTTGTGGCGCCAATACTAGCCAGTGGGTACCTCCTAAAGACATTTTCTCCGAACTCAAATGGTTCCATATTGAAAAGCCAAGGAGTTGGATTACACACACGCATATACAAGGGGCGCCCATTAAAGATTTCCCCTATTTATTTATTGTGTCATCAGCAACCAGACATTTGTATTACATTTTTAACAAAAACAAACAAACAGACAGACAAAACACAGAATTTGCAAGCTTGGTAGTTGATTAAATGTCCTTTGACCAGTATCTGGCCCCTTGGAGTGCCTCTGGTGTTGCCGCAAGAAGGTCCTCCCTTGTGCATCATGTGGCAGGGCTCAGGGTGCATTGCAGCAGGTGGTCAGTGGTTTGCTCTTCTCCACACTCGCATATCGAGGATTCCACTTTGTGGCCCCATTTCTGAAGGTTGGCTCTGCATCTCGTGGTGCCAGAGCGCGGTCTGTTCAGCGCCTTCCAAGTCGCCCAGTCCTCTGTGTGCCCAGGGGGAGTCTCTCATTTGGTATCAGCCATTGATTGAGCTTCTGGGTTTGAGCCTGCCACTTTTGGACTCTCGCTTGCTGGGGTATTCCAGGGAGTGTCTCTCTAGATCTTAAAAAACTATTTCTTGATTTAAGTTGTTGATGTGCTGGTTGATACCCAAACAAGGGATGAGCTGGAGATGTCTCTGCCTTGGTCCTTTCACTATTGGCTGCTACTTCCCGGCGGATGTCAGGTAGTGCAATACCGGCTAGACAGTGTAATTTCTCCAGTGGTGTAGGGCACAGACACCCCATGATGATGTGGCATGTCTCATTAAGAGCTACATCCACTGTTTTAGCGTGGTGAGATGTGTTCCACACTGGGCATGCATACTCAGCAGCAGAGAAGCATAGCGCAAGGGCAGATCATAGAATCATAGAATCAAAGAGTTGGAAGAGACCTCCTGGGCCATCCAGTCCAACCCCATTCTGCCAAGAAGCAGGAATATTGCATTCAAATCACCCCTGACAGATGGCCATCCAGCCTCTGTTTAAAAGCTTCCAAAGAAGGAGCCTCCACCACACTCCGGGACAGAGAGTTCCACTGCTGAACAGCTCTCACAGTCAGGAAGTTCTTCCTCATGTTCAGATGGAATCTCCTTTCTTGTAGTTTGAAGCCATTGTTTCATGTCCTAGTCTCCAGGGAAGTAGAAAACAAGCTTGTCTTCACTGTGTCTGGTTGTGATCCTCAGGTTGTGCCAGTCAGCTTTCCCCTGATCCACTTCTTTTCATCACAGGATACTGAAACTGCCCATGTGTAATGATAGACATCCCTATGGGTGATGTGCCAATTTACAACTCAGAACGGAAAACGGTCTTGATGTGACAGGTACTGAAGTGGAGTGAGGTTGGAGAATGGACCTAGAGGAATCCAGAGCGGTCCTCAAGTTCCTTTCCTTGAAAGGCCGCACACCAAAGGAGACGTTCGATGAGATGAAAGAGGTTTATGGTGATGATTCCCCGTCATATGATGGAGTCAAGAACTGGCATCATCAATTCCAATGTGGTCGGACTTTGGTGGAAACAGCTCCAATTCCAGGGCGACCTCACACTGCTATTGACGAACACACCATCCAGCAAATGGAGGTCACCGTTTTGGAAAATCGCCACATAACCATTCACCGCCTAACCCAAAATGTCAAGATTAGTGTGGGGTCTGTGGAATAAAATCACCCAAGACTATCTTCATACACATAGGGTATCTGCTTGCTGGGTTCCTGGGCTGCTCACACCTTTCCAGAAGCAGGAACGAGTGGGATGCGCTCAGGATCTCTTGACAATGATGTGCCATGGAAACCAGGAGGACTTTGTCAACAGACTGATCACACAGGAGGAAAGCTGGGTCCATCACTCTGATCCTGAGACCAAAGTCCAGTCAATGCAATGGAAGCATCTTGACTCACCGCCTCCAAAGAAGGTACGTGCCCAACTCTTGGCAGGCAAGGTCATCCTCACAGTATTTTGGGACCAGAACAGAGTAGTATGGATGGATTTCCTAGCAAAGGGGACCAGGATCAGTAGGGAATACTAGGCTTCACTGCTGCGGAAATGTCAGGAGGCCATCAAAACCAAGAGACAATATGGCATGCTCCCCAAAGGTGTCCTTTGCCTTCTGCAAGACAATGCACCACTTCACAACTCCCATGTTGCCCAAATGGAAGCAGCATGCTCCAGTGGCTCTGAAATCCTCCCACATCCCCCTTATTCACCTGACATCGCACCATCGGACTTCCAACTCTTTCCAACAAGGATGTTATTTGTGAAGGGCAAGCATTTCTCCGACGATGAGACTCTGGTTTCCGAAGTCACAAGGTGGCTTTTGGCGCAACCTGTCAACTTCTACAATAATAATCTATATAAATAAAAATGTAATGTTAGTTTGTGGGATTAACATAATTCAAAAACCACTGGACGAATTGACACGAAATTTGGACACAATACAGTTATCAGGCCAACACGTGACCAGCACTCATAAAAACACTAAAAAACACAGTGGCAGGGACTTTAAAAAGCCAAAAAATGAAAATACATTACAATGCATGCACAAAACCACATATATATACACACACACATACACACACACACACACACACATATATATCCTAGCCGTCCCCTGCCATGCGTTGCTGTGGCCCACATGGGGGTTCTGTGTGGGAGTTTTGGCCCAATTCTATCGTTGGTGGGGTTCAGAATGCTCTGTGATTGTAGGTGAACTATAAATCCCAGCAACTACAACTCCCGAAAGTCAAGATTCTATTTTCCCCAAACTCTACCAGTGTTCGCATTTGGACATATTGAGTATTCGTGTAGAGTTTGGTCTGGATTCATCATTGTTTGAGTCCACAGTGATCTCTGGATGTAGGTGAACTACAACTCCAAAACCAAAGGACACTGCCCACCAAACCCTCCCAGTATTTTCTGTTGGTCATGGGAGAATTGTGAGCCAAGTTTGGTTCAATTCCATCGTTGGTGGGGTTCAGAATGCTCTTTGATTATAGGTTAACTATAAATCCCAGCAACTACAACTCCCAAATGAAAAAATCATTTATTTATTTATTTATTTTTAGTAAAGGACATACATTGGGTTGTTAGGTGTCTTGTGTCCAAATTTGTTGTCAATTCGTCCAGTGGTTTTTGAGTTCTGTTAATACCACAAACGAACATTACAATATATATATACACACACACACACACACAACGCATATACACACACTGGGCCACAGCAACGCATGGCAAGGGACTTCTAGTAATCATTATTATTATTATTATTATTATTATTATTATTATTATTATTATTATTATACCCCGCCAACCATCTCCCCAAGGGGACTCGGGGTGGCTTACAAGGGACACACCCAACATTACAATTAAAACACACATGTAAAACACTGTAACCAATCAAAACATCAGATAAAACTAATAACAACACAATTGAAAGCAATATAAAAACAATACGGCTGAAAGAAACATAGCTGAGGTGCAGATTCAATGGGTGCAATACATTTTTACAGGAGTGCAGGAAAGTGCAACAATCCAGTAAACTGGGCAGGAAATACGAGGGGTATTTTTTAAGTAAGGTCCGTTTTGTTGTAGACATTAGTAGTTTGTGCACATACCGCAACGAGCGTGTGCATCGTGTACCGGCATGCCTGGGGAACAACTGTGCTCAGTTTCCGCTCTGTGGCTCACCTGTACGGTTCTGTTCTGTGCTTTAAAAATGTTGAAGACTCTCAACTCACCCTCTGCATGTGAGGTTCGCTCAGTGATACGGTTTCTGTCCGCAAGGAACCTGCCTGCTGCAGAAATCCATCGACAGATTTGTGAAGTGTACGGTGAGACTGTGATGAGTGAAAGCAAAGTGCGTAAGTGGGTACGACAATTCAAAGATGGCCATGACAACGTCCATGATGAGGACCACTCCGGTCGCCCTTCTTTGATTACAGACGATTTGGTGGCTTCAGTTGAAGCAATTCGTGAGAACAGGCGCTTCACAATAACAGGTCTCTCAAACGAATTTCCTGACGTGTCGAGATCAGTGCTTTACAACATTGTTTCTGAACACCTAAAGTTCAGGAAACTGTGCTCCCGTTGGGTCCCGAAACTCCTAACAGAGGACCACAAAACCAAAGATTTGAGTGTGCGATCAAATCAAATCGTCTGTAATCAAAGAAGGGCGACCGGAGCGGTCCTCATCATGGACGTTGTCACAGCCATCTTTGAATTGTCGTACCCACTTACGCACTTTGCTTTCACTCATAACAGTCTCACCGTACACTTCACAAATCTGTCGATGAATTTCTGCAGCAGGCAGGTTCCTTGCTGACAAAAACCGTATCACTGAGCGAACCTCACATGCGGAGGGTGAGTTGAGAGTCTTAAACATTTTAAAGCACAGAACAGAACCGTACAGGTGAGCTACAGAGCGGAAACTGAGCACAGTTGTTCCCGAGGCATGCCGGTACACAACGCATGCACTCGTTGCGGTATGCGCGCAAACTACTA